GGGGTTAACGTGTTCATTGTTAGATCTCTAAAGAGTGCTCAGAGAGACTTATTACGTGATATCAAATAACATTCATTTCTTTTTTTCAGAAAAAATAATAATACAGTATGTATTATAACGTACACATCAATTACTTTTCTAGAATTATAGCTGTGATGAAACAATTCAAGCCACACCTGTTCTAAACACACTGCCTGGGCAATGTACTACATTGGGCATTGTCTGAAATGACACATTTGTGGAAAAATAAAGTCATGTTCTATATTCAATTTACTGCTGAACTGAAAGTTAGGATATCCAATACCTTATTCTGGTACCTTGTTATCAGCAAGTTACAGGCTGCATCAACTCTCACACAATGTATATCTGAATATGAAACTTAATCACAGATGTCCGACTGTGCTATTTTGACCTTACGTTCGTAATTCCCTAGTTGATTCTAGACAACTCTAATTCATTAAAGCTGTCATTGTTGCTAATTCTCCAACTCAGATATTTTAACGACTGGTTTAAAGCAGTTTTGTCACTTTCAGGGGTCTTTGCATATTTTCCAAAGACCCGCTAGGATGATATTCCCGCAGATGCCCAGGGGTGCAGTGGAAGATAGCTTTACTTAGCTGAACCTGTCCCCAACAGGTGTCACCCTCTTTTTTTCACCTCCTGGCACTGCATTTGTCAGAAGCCGGGTCAGTGCTGTACTCTGGATAGATCAAGAAGCAGTTAGGTGGGCAGTGCTAGAGTTGTAAGTACATACAAGCAATGGAAGCGAATTTCACAGATGTATATCTTAACAAACACAATAATAGTGCAATATGTATTGAAAAAGGTACGAATACGGTTAGTGCCAAAGGAACACTCACACTTTTCAGAGCATTCTAAGCTCTATTTATGGAGCCTGGATGAGGCTCATCATGTGTAAAAGATAAGAATAAACGCCAATGGTACAGTTTGTAGGTAAATAGTGAATAGGTAAAAATTAGACATACTTACATCAACTAGAGCAAGGTCCTGCTCTAGTGTGTGGAGCTTTAGGTGGCACAATCCCCACCTAGGGATATATACGTGGACCCGAACAGCAGCAGGATGGTATGAGTATGAGATACAATATATGACTAGATAAATTAAAAAAGATCTTTATTAGGTAAATACAAAAATTATGTATAAAATTTAAATGGTAAAACTATATTTAGTATTAAAAAAGTGAGCTATACAGGGAGTGCAGAATTATTAGGCAAGTTGTATTTTTGAGGATTAATTGTATTATTGAACAACAACCATGTTCTCAATGAACCCAAAAAACTCATTAATATCAAAGCTGAATATTTTTGGAAGTAGTTTTTAGTTTGTTTTTAGTTATAGCTATGGTAGGGGGATATCTGTGTGTGCAGGTGACTATTACTGTGCATAATTATTAGGCAACAACAAAAAACAAATATATACCCATTTCAATTATTTATTATTACCAGTGAAACCAATATAACATCTCAACATTCACAAATATACATTTCTGACATTCAAAAACAAAACAAATCCAAATCAGTGACCTATATAGCCACCTTTCTTTGCAAGGACACTCAAAAGCCTGCCATCCATGGATTCTGTCAGTGTTTTGATCTGTTCACCATCAACATTGCGTGCAGCAGCAACCACAACCTCCCAGACACTGTTCAGAGAGGTGTACTGTTTTCCCTCCTTGTAAATCTCACATTTGATGATGGACCACAGGTTCTCAATGGGGTTCAGATCAGGTGAACAAGGAGGCCATGTCATTAGAGTTTCTTCTTTTATACCCTTTCTTGCCAGCCACGCTGTGGAGTACTTGGACGCGTGTGATGGAGCATTGTCCTGCATGAAAATCATGTTTTTCTTGAAGGATGCAGACTTCTTCCTGTACCACTGCTTGAAGAAGGTGTCTTCCGGGAACTGGCAGTAGGACTGGGAGTTGAGCTTGACTCCATCCTCAACCCGAAAAGGCCCACAAGCTCATCTTTGATGATACCAGCCCAAACCAGTACTCCACCTCCACCTTGCTGGCGTCTGAGTCGGACTGGAGCTCTCTGCCCTTTACCAATCCAGCCACGGGCCCATCCATCTGGCCCATCAAGACTCACTCTCATTTCATCGGTCCATAAAACCTTAGAAAAATCAGTCTTGAGATATTTCTTGGCCCAGTCTTGACGTTTCAGCTTGTCTTGTTCAGTGGTGGTCGTCTTTCAGCCTTTCTTACCTTGGCCATGTCTCTGAGTATTGCACACCTTGTGCTTTTGGGCACTCCAGTGATGTTGCAGCTCTGAAATATTGCCAAACTGGTGGCAAGTGGCATTGTGGCAGCTGCACGCTTGACTTTTCTCAGTTCATGGGCAGTTATTTTGCGCCTTGGTTTTTCCACACGCTTCTTGCGACCCTGTTGACTATTTTGAATGAAACGCTTGATTGTTCGATGATCACGCTTCAGAAGCTTTGCAATTTTAAGAGTGCTGCATCCCTCTGCAAGATATCTCACTATTTTTGACTTTTCTGAGCCTATCAAGTCCTTCTTTTGACCCATTTTGCCAAAGGAAAGGAAGTTGCCTAATAATTATACACACCTGATATAGGGTGTTGATGTCATTAGACCACACCCCTTCTCTTTACAGAGATGCACATCACCTAATATGCTTAATTGGTAGTAGGCTTTCGAGCCTATACAGCTTGGAGTAAGACAACATGCATAAAGAGGATGATGTGGTCAAAATACTCATTTGCCTAATAATTCTGCACTCCCTGTATAAAAACCAGTCCTATGGTATTGTCCTCAATCTTCACTTGACGCGTTTTGCTTGCAGCTTTCTCAAAAGCGTTTATTCTTATCTTTTACATATGATGAGCCTCATCCATTTGAGAACCACACTGTGTTGACAATCACAAAGAAATCCACAGATGGGGATTATTCCGTCCAGGCTCCATAAATAGAACTTATAAAGCTCTGAAAAGTGTGAGTGCTCCTTTGGCACTAATACGGTATTCGAACCATTGTCATTACGCATTGCACTATTTTTGAGTTTTTTCTTTCTTTAAGATATACATCTGTGAAATCCACTTCCATTGCTTGTATGTATGTACTTACAACTCTAGTGCTGCTCACCTAACTGCTTCTTGATCTATTCCGATTTACTTTTCACAAGGTTAAGGGAACTCTTTGTTGGTAAATAGCTGCTCTTAGATTAGTGTCACGTATTCATCCGCTTATAGAAATGTGGTTAATGACATTTACTGTCCACACAGGAAAAGTTGTGCCGAGCAGCAACCTAATCCACAGAAGGTTTAATGCTGAGCAGTAATTGTGCAAATGAAACCTGGTCTCAAGTATTCATCCGCTTATAGAAAAGTGGTTAATGACATTTACTGTCCACACAGGAAAAGTTGTGCCGAGCAGCAACCTAATCCACAGAAGGGTTAATGCTGGGCAGCAATTATGCAAATGAAACCTGGTAACTGACTTTGGGGTCAAAGGCCGGTTACAGCCTATCAGAACTAAAGGAGGGGTATTTAGGCCCAGTTCTCAGCCTGCTCAGTGCCCTGTCGTGGTTTCCCTTGTGGTTGTCCGAGAGCGCGTTCCTGTTTATAGTTTTCTACCTGGTTTTTTACTTTGGCTTTGTTTATTGACTTCTCTATATTCTGGTATCCTGACTCCTGGCTTTCCTCATCGCTGTGTCCCTTTCTGTGTTCCCTGACCTCGGCTAGTATTTTTGACTATTCTTTGTACGTTAAATCCGGCCATTCTAAGGACCGGTAATACGTTACTTATTTGTCATCCGTGCTGTACAGTTCTACGTGCTGGATCAAACAGTAATCCTGACATTACGACATGGCCATAGATCCTGTAGAACTGTGTCAGCACATAGCTGCTTGCGAGAGGAAATTAGAGGAGAATGATCACCGCATGAATCAATTCACTCAGGCTTTAAGTACGCTTCTCGCTAGAACGGAGCATCTGCAGCCTGCAGCGTCTCCTCCTATGGCACCTCTACCCAGGGGAGGGCTGGCAGCCTTAGGCCTGGGGGGCAAAACCAGTCAAGAGGCCCATTGCACCACCAAATCAGTGCAATGGTGCCCACCTTTTCCTGGATTTATAACGGATATTGATGTTATGCTAATCAGTAGCTCTTTGCCATACCCACTTCTTCACGGCTCTGACTTTCAATGTTGTCAGAGCGCAGGCTGAGAATCTCTGAGCCTGTGCTCTGACTCACTAACTGAGCGTCGGAACCACGAGGGAGATGCTATAATCTGACTGCACCTACTGCTGGTGCGCACCAATGGACCACCAGCGAATCGTTTAAATTGAATAGGCTGGTGTCCCCAACTTGTGAGCTGTGTTGTCCGCCGGGCGCCTCTGTTGTGATGGCACCCTGCGTGACCGCACAGCGTGCACACCCCAATGGCTGGCCCTGCTGACACACACTGATGTTACTACTTAGAAATCCCTCAATATTAATACAGACAGCAGAATAAACACCAATAAACTGTGGAAACAGATCTGATCCCACCCAAATTTATAAAGATTTGCTTACTGGATTTGTTGTAAGATTAAATCATGCCTCCTCCCCTCTCTCTCCCATGCGCTGCTCTGTAAGCTGGGAGGAAGTGAAGAGTAATCACAATCTCTCAGCACAGTGGCACCTGTGGCTGCATGGGGAACAGCTGTATTCGCCGCCCCCCATGTGACATCACAATGCCCCACCTATATGAGCTGCCATACGAACTAACGCCAGTGCTGCCCACAGTGTGTGTTTACATTAAAAAGCCTGCAGGGACCGCCTATAGATACCAGAACCACTTCATTAAGCTCCAGTCATTCTGGGGACTATAGTGTCCCTTTAATGTAATGAAAATTATAGATTGGTGTCACTAATAATATACTAGATTGCCTACTTACAACCAAATGAGGATGATGATGGGCTGCAGTTTGGCTCCACTGGTCTGGTGTAGAACAGGATCTCTGGAGGCTGTTTGCAACTGTGGTCACAAAATTCAATGTTCTGGGAGAATTGGAAGCAGCTCCATTTTTGGGAGAGCCCCTTACACAGCTCAAGGTCTGGGCCCCAGGGCCTGACGGTGAGTATGCCCACAAGGCCCACTCATAAGTCCACTTATATGTTCCACCCACCCATGAGTTCGCTCACAGGGAGTGGAGTGTGTAGGGGATGTGTTATGTATTATTGTAGAGCAGGGGTTCTCAACGTTAGTCCTCAGGACCCCCTACCAGTCCAGGGTTTAGGGATTACCTGGGTGTGTCTAAGGTGTTTT